AAAAAAAAAAAAAAAAAAAATCATGTGGCTTCTACCTTGCATAAGGTGTATGCCACCAAAATTTTAGCTCATTTGAGCCAGTAGAAAAAAAGATAAAAATCTTTGGAGTTTTTAATCCCCGCCTATACCCCTCCTATCCTCACCAAAACCCCTTGTATCCCCCCCTCCCACCCCAAATAGCACCCTATCACCAAATGATCAGAAAATTCTGAATTTTTTTATGGAGGGTCTCTATGGCATGTGCAACAGTCTTTTTTTTTTTTTTTTTTTTAATGCGAAAAAGTGGTTGTCCGGGATCTCGGACAACCCCCTTACCGGATGGTTGGGGGAGACGTCCGGCCGAGACGTCTGGCCTTCGGACGACTGGTAACCTAGGTTAAAAGTAAAAAACTATAAAAACCTCGAGAAAACTTTCAAAAAGATAAATTAATAAAAATTGAATAATGGGTATGTATAATAATTTATTATTCAGATAGACCGCGTCGGGACTCCAAGAAAATCAAAAGTGGGCCTGAAAACCCCCCAAAACAATTTTGGGGGCTTGGCTCCGCAGTGGGGAGGGGTCCCAGACCTTTTTTTTTTTCCCTTGAAACTTGGCACATCCGGACCTTCCAGACCGGATGTCTAGATTCTGGACTGAATCCAGACCGTCTGGACGGATGCCCGGACGTCCGGATCGTAGCCGTGGTTGGAATCATTGACATCGTGTAACGAAGTCGTGGTGAATGTGTGATTCATAGATCAGCATGCAAAGGTGGACGGCCACAATGGATCTTGATGGGTCTCTCTCTCTCTCTCTTTCTAGTAACCCAGTTTGAGCATCTTCCTGAAGGCCAGAAATGTTTTCAGACATGCATATGTGGTTATGTAAAGTGTGAGTTAGCACAAGACAAGGATTGTGTGTGTGTTTGTGGGATTCTTGTCTTGTTTGCTATACGCAACTCCATGAAAGTGTGTGTGTGTGTGTGTGAGAGAGAGAGAGAGAGAGCCAAACCTTCAGCAGCTGGGGAGGGGGGCTGTATTTTCAGTGCGCCAGCACTGGAACTGGCTTTCTGATCTTCGAGTTCCATGTTGCATAAATGTCCACGGGCTGAGTAATGATGGGTCTTGGAAATCGCAGTCTCTTGTGTTGGACGCTCTCTCTTTTTCTTCTCCCCTACTTTTTTTTGAACTCTGCAAAATGGCCCTCAGGCATTCTAATGCTGCTTGACATGTATGTACACAAATATTATTGATGACAGGTCTTGAAGACCCCAGTTTCTCGGGACATGCTGGGACGCATCTTCAATGGATCTGGAAAGCCCATTGACAACGGCCCCCCTATTCTTGCTGAGGCTTACCTTGATATCTCAGGTATGGCTGGTTCTAAGGCATAAGGATAAGCGTGGATGGATGGATGGATGGATAAATGATAGATGAATAATTCATGTCCTTGTATTGTTACTTGGTGGCGCATGAAAAGGAGAATGGGGAAAATTGCTAGTCTCTTCTCTTTATCTTTTTTTGGTTATAACAAGAAGACCTGCCCCGGCTCCGCTTGCGCCCCCGATGTGGAAGCACATGAAGACACACGGGAGTAATCTCTTCCTCATGCCTCCTCCCGTCGCCCCCGATGTGGAATTGGCAAGAGCTTGATAAGCCCACGCGGATCTGAGTCCTAGGTTTGCCCCATTGGCAAACCTGGCAAGTTTCAACGTACCTTTTCCCATCTTGCATCATAGTGGGCCACCAGAATGTCTGCAATAAGTTAGCTGATGTCTTTTTATAGCCAAAATGACCAGTTGCATCATGACATTCACCAAAAAACGAACTACGTAAAGACTCTCTGTCTGGAACACAGTCTTTTATTCCCAGCCTTCTCAAGGAACAGCAAGCGATTGACGAGCACAAACTCATCGGAGGTAGCTTTATCTTTAGCCTCCAGTTTGCGTATGATCTCAGACATCATTGCGTCTTCCTGATAGGCTTCCACCATAGATCGAGTTACGTCATTAGATATCTCAAACTCAGTCACTTGCGCGCCCAGATAATCTGCCCTACGTGACAGTGTATCAGCCACTTTCTTATATTCTCCTTTGATGGGTTCAAGTTGATAGTCATAGATGTCTATCACTTGAATACACCTTTTCAAGGCATCTGAGAGTACAGGCTGTGTCTTGATCCAGCGCAAAGTCTCATGGTCAGATCTCACATAAAAGAATCTGCCTAATAGAGTGTCTCCAATGGACCAGCGCTCGGTAAAGGGCATAGAGCTCACGCTCATATGTGGACCTGGCCAGTTTACGAGATGGCATCTTTTTATTCATATACTCGATCGGCCTCAACTTCTTCCCCTCCTTTTGCGCCAGGACTGTGCCTATGCCATATTGGCTGGCGTCAGTGGTCACTATAAACGCTGCTCAGGATCTGGAAGCTTGAGAACATGGTGTGTCAAAGCATACTTAATTGCTTGAAGGCTGCTTCACACTCTTCAGTCCACTCCCAAGGGGTGTCAAGGCATGCGAGATCAGTTAGAGGGGAGGCTATAGTACTATAGTTTTTCACAAAAGGTCTGTAATAGCCTGTCATCCCCATTAATGACCTCACCTCAGTCACAGACCGAGGTATGGGCCAGTCACTTTAGTGTCGTCCTTAGGGTACCTCCCTTCTTAGGAAGGAATAGGACTGGAGCACCATAAGGGGAGGTACTAGGCCGAATCCATCCCTTTCCTGTGAGCTCTTTGAGGTGGCGGCGGAGCTCATCCAACTCCGCATCCAACTCCGCAGGAGACATCCTATAGATTCGTCCTCTAGGTACCTTACTACCTGGGACGACCTCTATTGCATGGACCACCTCCCTTTTCACCACACCATTGGGCTCCTAAAAAAGGTCTAAATACGATGCGACGACTACTTCTGTCTTTGGGGTTTACGACCTCCCCTTTCTCAGAGGCAAAGACAAGTACATGCCTTCCTCGCGATTCTGTTTATAGTAGTCATAGAAAGAAGATGCACATATGCACCCGTAGTTTTCCACTAGACTGCTAGCTTTGAACTTCTGCAGTGTAACCGTTCTTCCGTTGGGAAACTTGTGGATCATCACCTTTCTATCCCAATTTTGAGGTTGAGCAACCTCGAGGTATTACATACCTAGCAGCATGTCGAATGGCAGTTTGTCGCTGACAAGGAACAAGATTGTATGTCTCAGTTCCCCTCCTCCATAGGATAAGGTGTAAACTACGTCCTTGGCATAGTCTTGTACAATCATGCGATGCTTGTTGGCAAGCGTTGCTGTTACAGATCTGCTGAGCCGCTGCACTTGGTCCCCTAAGAGCAGCCCATCCACACAATCACGACTGATGAAGTTTCGTGTAGAGCCTATGTCTGCGAAGGCACCTACTTTGGGGTCTCCTACATCAACCTCTACCATGAAATGTTCACCCCGAGGACCTTTGCTAATCATCGCCCAAGAGCCTCTTTGTAACTCTTCTAGGGATTCAGACACATCTCTCGAACAGAGAATTGGTGGGTCTGAATGTGTCTGCGGTGCGATGGATGGGTCACTAGCCTTGGCCAACGCCTGAAGTGGTGAAGGCAGCGTTACCACTTCAGCACGAGTAAGAGCGGCTAACACTCCTATTGGCCCCAGGTGTTTCCCTGCGAAGTGCTCGTAGAAGCACCACCAGGGTTCGAAGATAAGCCCACCACTATTGGAGAGGCTACCTTCGTGGTGACCTTCTTGCCTCGACAAGTCTTGGATGTGTAGCCATAGTTGCCACAGTTCAGCCAAGTACCCCTAGCAACTCGGTCCCTCCACGCCTAGTAATCTAAGTCAAGTTTTATCCAGGCAGATGTTCCTTGGTCGCCTTGACCCTTGGACCGCCTTTCTTCTTCCAGTCTTTGGGAAGTCTCTTCTTCCTACCATCTGACTTACCTTGATGAGCGGACCCAAGCTTAGCGTCTATATGGGTTTCTTGCTGAAAGAGGCGAAGTTATGTACTTCGATGTTGGCCTCATCCACCAGCTTATTTTTGACGTGTGTAGGCAGACATCTCAAATAGTCTGTGAGGAGTACCTGTGGGTCATAGCGCACACCAGGTACTACGATCAGTCGTTCTACGACGTCTGTGACTTCGCGTATAGTCCGGTACTGCTTGGAATTGAGATTGTTGATTGCGTCAGTGGTTTTTGAGCCCCTTGAGGGTCATGCCACCTATTGTACACAGTCCATATGAAGTCCTCAATGTCTGGGCTTGGGCCCAGATTGAAGTTCTGATCATAACCCTGTTGCTGAACTTAACCCGTTTAACCATCGTGCTGTCGATCCCTCTAGAAAGGATGCAGTGACTAAAACTTCCTGCTCTGGCCTTGTGAGCTTGTGCCTCACATAAGTGGGCACAATCCTCACCCAGGTGTCCAGGTCCTTTTCCTTTTTCTTGTCGCCAAAAAAAAGGTTTAGCAAAGGGATCTTAGACGTCCACTGCATAGCTGGATTGGCCCAGGGGACTGTTGCAGTGGCTGCATAGCCATTGAGACAGGTTGCTGCACGCTAACCTGAGCCTGATGATGGGACTGTAGCTGCCACCGTCACTGATGGTACTGAAAAAGTTCTAAGGACTGGACCACTAGCTGCTACTAAACTCCCTGGAGGGGGCATGCCAAACATAGGAGAAAAACAGGGCCTTATCGTCGACGACGTCACTGAGGGACCCGCAACCGAAGGGGGAGCTATAACATACTGAGGCTGCCTCATCACTGGAAGAGGAGCTTGCAGTGCAGCCAGAATTCGGTTTTGGCCTGCCACTAGTTCCGCCAGCACTTCTTGCTGCACAGCCTGCGTTTCTGCTATGCAAAGGAGCGAACGATGCAGCGCTTGTATTGCAGGATCGAGTGTCGAATCGTCTAGTGCCTCTCATCTACTTAGCTCCTGCCTCCTGCTCCCTAGTTTAGCTTTTGTCAATATAGCTCTCTGTCTCCTCTTTGCTGCCTCACTCAATTGCCACTGCAGCTTGGAGAAAAATAAATCTCCGGTGTGAGTTGAGTTTGCTGGCTGACATTGCGGCCTCTAAGCTGGCTGCTGCTGACCTAACCCTCCTTAATGCCGCCCTCTCCCTGGCTTCCCTTCGCAGCCTCCTTTCCTCTCTTGGCCCTAACTTCGGGAAAGTGATCGGTCGACTAAGAGCAGTTCTACGGGTAACTCTAAGAGGTTCACTAATCGTTCCTCCTCACTACTGCCTGCATCACTCGTGAGCTACAGTGTGTGTGATCTAAACTAGAATCCATACTGAATCCTAGCTCAGCATGACACCCAACCGAGTATGATATTCTACTAGCTTCGGTCAGCTTGGAGAGTAGTCAAGTGGTAAACTAGTGTCAGATCCTACAGGTAATACTAAGTCTATTTTTAGATTACTCTGGAACAGATTGCATGCAGCAAAGAATAATATCTGCAGCTCTGTTAGTTGTCAGTCATGCCCGTAACAACTAGATAATCAAAAATAAAATTGTCACCTGTGGAGATGCATGCTGGATATAATATTTTCCGATTAGTACCTCTGCGAACAGTTATCGGGATCCCCCCTCTCCCTGTATCCTTCTTGAGTGGTCACTCTGTGTCAACGCCCTGAGCATCTGGTTGAGCGGCGTGTCTGAAGGTGTGCAATACGGCCCACCCCTGTGACCCAAGTCTATGCTGAACCTGCCTGCCCCTGCACATTATTTACCCTCGCATGCAAACGAGCCTTACTTCCGGTTGATCTTGCTGATCAAGAGGCAGTTTAAGGACAGCTTGTAAGGTCCGCAGGAATGATTTAATGTTGCAGACAGGAGGACGATCACAGCCAGGGTTCAATCCGGAACCCACCAGAAATATTTAAAGACGGTCTGGTAAGCGTCTGTTCAAAGGGCTGGCAAGCCCATGACCTCTATTGCGCAGCAGCAGAACCAAGGATTTGCGGCATAGCATGCGTGTATTAGTCCCAGCGCGTTGGCATGGTGACCGTGACCCAAGTGCTTCGTCCAGTGTCCTTCAGAGGCTTTGCCTGTTATGAACTTGGTTGTCTGACGAATTTTATTGCCACTCGTACACAGACAATCTCATACATGCCTATACATGCATAAGAGAAGGGGAGAGAGGAGACAGAGTCCAAACTGCACACAGGTGAAGATAAACAGCAGAAGACAAACATGCACAGATGGGGAGAAGACACGCAGTGTTTCGCACTCTCTGACACAACTCCCAACAACCAATCAGAAGAAAGAACCTGCGAAGATCACAATTGAAAATGTCACTGATGATGAGCCACTCACACAATTATCGTAACAGAGTTTGTTCCAGTATCTCGCCACACTCAGAACTCACASCCCACTCTCTATCCTACACCCAGTTAGTAGCGCTGCATCGGAACAGCCTCCCAGAGGCCAGCGCTAACCACCCTGATGAAGAACAGGTCCTGCGACGAAGTCTTCAGTGCCGCTGGACAACTCTGACGAAGGAACAGGCAGCTATGGCTGCCATCACCCAGGAACAACCACTGTAGAGCCTCGATACTGCCCGGCCATACGCAGATACCCCCAGGGGTAGATGCGCTGAGGATGCCCCAGCTATGGCAGACTCAGAGAGGGCCGGCAATGGCTGTTGTCACGGTGCGCCTCAGGATGCCGCCTGCAGACCAACACCGCCACCGATTTGCTTGGCTTCTCAACGCTGCTTCGCGAGAAATGAACTACCAAAAGTCCTAAACCTACTCGGCCTGTCCTATTTCTAGATTCTACCCTAGACCTACTGGACCGAAACTGCTCTACCGGTACCGTTTCGACTTAGGGCCTCTAGGCCCTTCCCAGCTACGGGCTCTACCCACTGTTGGCCCTTAGGGCCTCTGTGACGTCGGGAAAGACTGGGCCTGCAATTGCAGGGCCGGAACCGGTCTATTTTTAGAACAGCATATAGGCCTCAGTGTGACCCAAAACTCTGCACGCACACACAACAAAGCACGGTGCAAAACAGAACAGGCACACGCAACAGGGTACAACCTCGCTGTTAGTCACGGCAGCAGAAATCAGCACGTCATCGCACCTCAATGCGTTAAAAAGAAAACACAGCAACAGCACAGACAACCAAACACAGAAAACACAAAATCACGAATCTGACCTATGACGCGATCAGACCGAGGCAAGCCCCAGGCTTCGCCCTCAGCCTAATGTACAGTCCACTGAGAATCTGCAGGTTAGATGCATGCTGGATATAATATTTTTCAATTAGTACCTCTGCGAACAGTTACGGGAATTCCCCCTCTCCCTGTATCCTTCTCGAGTGGTCACTCTGTGTCAACGCCCTGAGCATCTGGTTGAGCGGCGTGTCTGAAGGTGTGCAATCCGGCCCACCCCTGTGACCCAAGTCTATGCTGAACCTGCCTGCCCCTGCACATTATTTACCCTCACATGCAAACGAGCCTTACTTCCGGTTGATCTGGCTGATCAAGAGGCAGTTTAAGTACAGCCCGTAAGGTCCGCAGGATGATTTAACGTTGCAGACAGGATGACGATCACAGCCAGGGTTCAATCCGGAACCCACCAGTAATATTTAAAGACGGTGTGGTAAGAGTCTGTTCATAGGGCTGGCATGCCCATGACCTCTATTGGGCAGCAGCAGAACCAAGGATTTGCGGCAAAGCATGCGTGTATCAGTCCCAGCGGGTTGGCATGGTGACCGTGACCCGAGTGCTTCGTCCATCGTCCTTCAGAGGCTTCGCCCGTCTCCCACCAGCTTGGTGCCCAGGAAGAATGTCGACTCTCAAGGTTGAGCACTCGCGACACCTCACAATGAGAGGACTCTCAAGACAGAACTCACTTCCTCACTGTGAGAAGTAATGAAGAGGGTAGATAAGGAAGAGAGCAATGTACCTCATAATGCCGCCCCCAACCACAGATTTTCTCACCAGCAACCTGACGTGTATTTATGATGACCGGTCTCTGCCTCGGCACAACAAACAGCTAAATGCAGTTCCACCTCGGCTTAAATGCCATCAGCGAGTTCTCATTATCCAGCGTACACACCTAAGTTACCACATAGCCTTCATGGTGCGCCCACACGATCCTAGGACGCCTATCGTCCAACGCCCAAGCCTTATCACTGCCCCACGCCTCATGCGAAGCACCGAACAACTATTGTGAAGAACCAATGAAGCGCAGTTCGAACCAGCTCCGATACCAAATTGCAAGGAAACTGAGCAATAGCGAGATGACAATATCCAGAATGCACAATCACATTGAAAGCCAGGAAGTTTCACCGTGTCCAGAAAGCAGCATTGCACCAATATATAACACCAATGGAGAATCGTAACACTGAAAACCAAATGTCAATGGGAACTTGCTATCGCCACCACCAACGTAAGTGTCCAGGCCCTTCTACCTACTTGGCGCTTGGCGCCCAGCCTACTTCCTACACGGTTACTGTCTGCCTACTAGTTGACAATGCAACTGTTGACGTCAGCAGCCAACAAAGTACTTGAAGATGTCGCCCAATGCAGACCATCGCCAACATCAGGTATGTGCCCTCACATCATCATCATCATCATCATCATCCTTCTCTGCCTCGACTTACACCCACGTCTTCCCTCTGTACACCCGAAGACCACCACTGCGCTCACTGTAGTCCAAGCCCCAGCCAGCTATGGAGGCTGGGCTATGGCGCTGCCCTCAGCAGCACCCTACTTCTCGCACGACCGCACACGCACAGCACCTTGCCGTTAGCGCACAGAAGCACACGAGCCTACTCTCCAGCAGCGCTGCCGCACAAACTGGCAAATGACTGAATATCCTCCAGGCAGCGAGCTATTTCCTATATGGAAAGAGTCTGCATGCCGCGGCGGCCGGGCTGGGCTGGGCCTGTGCCCAGAAGCTTCCGCTAGGCCCCAGGAGGCTGTGCCTCTGTCGCGCTACTGGACCCTTTGGTTGGGCCTCCCAACTGTCTGTGTATGATGCTGTGATTCTTGCCCAGGAAAGGCCTGGAAGGCCGTGGAAAATGTTTGCTGCGCCGGCCTGGGTTCCTTCAGCGAACTGGCGTGTCACAACTGCTGGACCCCAAATACGAATTTGACAGCAATGGGCCTCTTGAGGTTTGTTAGGCCCTTCACTTAGGGCGGGCACATCTGTATCAGGGCCCCTCAGGCCTGCCGAGGACTCAGATCCTGGCAAGGTGACCTTCTGTAAACAAAACAGAACATGACCAGGTGTGGGGGGTTCTAAACTTGGCAGTGTTGGCACAGGTCACCGCCAAAAAAATATGGGTGCATGCATGTGGGGTTCTACACCCATGCATATGTCTATAGTGGTACTGATCCCTATTTTCATGATTTTGTTTTTTCTTAGCAGGCCATGGGTTTGGTGGAGGTGAGACCTCGATATGCTTTGAATTTTGTGTCATGACTGTTTTCTCCCACTCATATGTGGCATGTGCAGTTTTCTCGGGACTTGTCATTCATGTACCTAGTTGTTTTTGAGTTCGAATGGTTGATAAAGGGTTCTATATTATTGGGGCCTGGGACGGGTTGGGGGCAATTGTGGTGAAATAAAACGGGCCAGTTGTGGGTGGCCTTCTGTAAACAAAAGAGAACATGGCCAGGTGTGGACGGGTTTAGACTTGGCAGTGTTGTCTCAGGTCACTGCCAAAAAGATATGCATGCATGCATGTGGGGGTCTACACCCATGCATGTATGTCTATAGGGGTACTGGCTCGTATTTTTCATGATTTCTGTTTTGTTTAACAGACCAAGGGTCTGGTGGATGTGTGACCTTGATATGCTTTGAATTTTGTGTCATGAGTCATATCGGGTGGGGGCGGGTGAGGGTAGCAAAGAAAATGCTAGCTATGGGCAGTTGCGGGCGGGTGAGGGTAGCGAAGAAAATGCTAGCTATGGGCAGTTGCGGGCGGGATTTTGCTCAAGGGCCTGGGTGGGGGCAGGTGACGGGAAAATATGTCTGGGTCTGGGCAGGTCTGACTGCAATTCTTTTAAGGTCTGGGCTCGGGGGGGCCCGGGTTTGTATGCTCAAATTGGGCCCAGCTGTGGCTGGGCCAAGTTGTGAGGATTTTTAAACCGCAGTTATGGCTGGCTGTGGCTGCCAAATAATTATGGATGTTCAGTATGGGTTGGGTGTGGCTATGGGAGAAGTTTGAGGTGAGCTCTGCCCCTAATTCAGCCCCTTTATCAGTGTACCAAGCGGCGTGTGGTGTACAGAAGGGACCCAGGTTGTGAAATAGCCTTCTTGGGGTTGAGTTGTATAGTATGGAAGTTGGTTCCCCAATTGAGTAGCTAGGTTGTGCATCATCGTTGTTTATTTTTTGTCAACTAAGGTAATTCATCTTTTCATGACCGATGACCGACTCGGCGTGGGAGAGCGCACGAAGCTGTGGGTGTTTTGCTGGCTTTGAGCGGTCGTAGGTTGTCACATTTCTGATCGCCAAGCTCAGTGCTCAAGTCTGGGTTCCTTGTTGGCTGTGGGCTGCAGGTAGTTCAATCAACCCCAGCGAGCGAACTTATCCTGAGGAGATGATTCAGACTGGGATCTCCACAATCGATGTCATGAACTCCATCGCTAGAGGGCAGAAGATTCCTCTGTTCTCGGCAGCAGGGTTGCCGCATAATGAAATTGCTGCACAGATCTGTCGGCAGGCTGGTCTCGTGAAAAAGCTGGAGAGGAGAGATGACATGCTTCAGGTAGGTTTAGTTGGGGAAGATTGGATGGTTTCTCGTAGTTCTAAACACTTTTATCACTATGGTTTCGTTCGTGTTTTTTTATCTGTGCCCTGTTGTGTACGGTGGTGTTGCATGCTGTGCACAAGATTGCAGAGGGCACAATCGTATAACAATTGGAACTTTCTGGATCAAATCTGGATGAATATGCGATCTGATACGTTCATGAAGGTCCAAATGTAAGTATGCGGTTACGGGTTTGTCTAGTGGTCTGCTACCTGGTGTCAACAAGTTGCGGAGAGCTGTATGTGGATATCAAGAGAGGATGATAACCAATAAGGTAGACCGGCTATGGCAAGTTTGGCATGCATGTATTCGTGAAAGAAAGGAATGCTGACGCTGACAGGACAGAGGATCATGGAGAGTGGGAGCTGTGCTGCATTGCCTGATTCTGTGGTGGACTTTGTGTCGTTGGTCTAGAGTACGGACCGGATTTCTCAGAGGGCATACTTGGAGTAAGACTTTTGAATGGATCTGTGTGTAATTGACGCTAAATTCAGTTGAAGAAGTTAGTGTGCTCTTGGGATCACTGTAGAGCTATGCTAATACTTTCTTGAATGGATCTGCGTGTAACTGAGACCAAATTCAGTTGAAGAAAAAGTGCTCTTGGAAGCACTGTAGAGTGATGCACAGGTCAGTTTAAGATCTGCAGTTTGGATTGCTGTAAAATGTGCATATCACGTTCGGCTTGGAACATCAGGTCAGTGGAATATCTCTGCAAACTGACGAGGTTGTTTGCTGCAGAGATGGGCACACGGCCTTCACCTTGCGGGTTTTTAGTGTATCAGAAACCCGCAATATATTCAATTCCTTATTAGCCAAAGAATAGCATGTACTATTGTTTAGTATGTACCCACCCGAGCTCCATTGAATGATTGAATGAATCTGGCGTGAATTTATCTTACATACGGCTTGTGAATTACAAGTGGGGTAAACCCTAAGGAACCCCAATCTTTGTTTGTGTTGTGGAAGCTTACCAACTTTGTGTGTGAAGAATTGCACCGAATCTAATAGTGTGTGTAAACCCTAAGTAAAGTTATTGCTCTGTGCTTGGTGTAGAATTTTACCTCCAACTCTGTGCGTGAAGAATTGAGTTGATGCACCAGTGCGGGAGTGTTTCTGACAGCTTTCGTTCTGGCATGTTTGTGTGCAGGGGGAGGATGACAACTTTGCCATCGTGTTTGCGGCCATGGGTGTGAACATGGAGACAGCACAGTTTTTCAAGAGGGACTTCGAGGAGAATGGCTCGATGGAAAGAATCACTATGTTCTTGAACCTGGTGGGTGGATTTTTTTGACTGCTTGCATCTGCTCAGAAAGTAGCAAAGGGTTTCGTTATGTACCAGACTGTAGTGGCGCATGCTGTTTGCTCATGTGGGGAATCCATCCTCACATGTTTATCATCCCAGTAAAGCTAACCTGGGGTTGGGAATCCTGTAGCGGGGGCTGGGGTGGGGGGGGGGAAATGGTTGGAGGGCACCTGGGTTGGGTCCATTGGGATGACAAATGTGTGATGGTGGTGTGCGGAGTTCGAGTAAGGTCTATGTAGTCTTCCTGTCTCTTGTGACAAGTGTCGCAATCTGGTCTGATTGATATTCCGCCAGCGGTATGATGCATTGTCGGTTGTTGAGAGTTTTCGCTAGTTTGTTTTGGCGAGTTTTAAGGTCCTGACTGAACATGCATGGTCCGAACCGAATGCGCGGCCAATTTGTCGTTTTGTAGGGGCATTGCTGAGTGCCTGATGGTCCTGACTCCTGACTGACTGCACTGATTGGTGAAGAGCGTACTCTACGGCTTTCCTGGGTAGTTATTTTCCCCTTAGGCTCAGAAATCACACGCTTCTCTGAATCATCGTATCGTACTTCCACATATTCACTTAAGGGAAAGTCTTTTCGTAACAGATGACCCTCGAGCCGTATGAATGATGCGTGCAAAGAAAGACAAAGAGTCAGACACATCATTCTCATCACAACAGATAGAACCAGAAGGTTCGATTAACTACTTTTTTTTCATTGATGCTCATTAAGGTCCACATCCAATGTTTGATGTGTGGTGCAGGCAAATGACCCTACCATTGAGCGTATCATTACTCCACGTATTGCATTGACGACAGCAGAGTACCTTGCATACGAGTGTGACAAGCATGTCTTGGTCATTCTCACGGACATGAGCTCTTATGCTGATGCGCTTCGTGAGGTAAGGAGGAGGTTTCTGTTCTTTTTTTTTGTTCTTTTCTGTTTTGTGATCTTTATCCACTCTCTAAAAAGTCACCGGCTGAATAATCTTTGGGCAAAGGAGTGTAGGACATTGTCTCCACACAGGAATCTTGCGGCTGAGGTCCTCTCTCTTGCTTCGTGAGGTAAGGAGGAGGTTTGTGTTCTTTTTTTTTGTTCTTTTCTGTTTTGTGATCTTTATCCACTCTCTAAAAAGTCACTAGCTGAATAATCTCTGGGCAAAGGAGTGTAGGACATTCTCTCCACACAGGAATCTTGCGGATGGGGTCCTCTCTCTTGCCGAGTGAGAAACATTGGTGCTCTTGAATAATCACCCCTCTTTTCTTTTCAGAGGTTGACGCTACCATCTTACCACAAACGAGAACTTATGGTTGTTGTAGCTGTCTTTGGGGCAATTTTCAGTCTTGGTACACCGATAATGGCCATACTTTCTATTCGGCTGAAGACGGTAGGCTGTTAAAATTTAGTGATCTCACTGTCAATGGCTTGGCCGTGCGGCAGTGGTGTATTATGATTACCAATGCACTCCCTTGTGTGTAGCTAGTGTTGGCATTCGTGCTACAGTGTGTGCCGCCATGGCTATACTGTTGCAGGAACACTCCCTTCAGCAGTGTCCTATTGGAGATATCTTTCTGTTTTTCATTGCTGTGCTTTAGGTTGATCTTGGAGGAACCATACACTCATTGATGGCTGGGTTATTGTTCTGTTGACAGGTGTCAGCAGCTCGTGAAGAAGTGCCCGGGCGCCGTGGATATCCTGGTTATATGTATACCGACTTGGCGACCATCTATGAGAGGGCAGGGCGTATTGAGGGAAGGAAGGGATCAATTACTCAGATTCCAATTCTAACCATGCCCAATGATGGTAAGTGAAGTACGTTTTTGGCTACTCGTCGTCTTCACCCATGTGGAGCGCCCGGTAATCATTGCTGCACCTGGACTGTAAATTGCACCACATACCGCTATAATGACTAGGCGTTCTATTTGGGTGAAGACGGCAGTGCATGTCCCATGCACACTGACATTGCGTTATTGAGGTCTCTGTACCAGGGGAGAGTCTGGAACGTGTGGATTTGTTTTTCTTTCTACGGAAAATTACATCTGTACCCCACTTAAAGATAGGAATACCCGCTATACCCAGTTGAAGACCATGAAATCCTCCCAACCCTCTTTTTTTGGATGCCGCAGGCCGAGGGGCTCACTTTGTCCACAATTTTCGTACGTCCGTTTGCTGAGATTTCTGGATCAGATGAGTGCCTTGTATTCTCACTTCGGCGCTCTTCTGCGCTATCTGTTTTCCCTCATTGTAAACCTTGGGCCTCGGGCTCTCTGTGGGCCTTCGGATAAATGGGCGCACGAACCGGCAAAGCGGTTGGCCGTCGGTTCTTGGGCGTTGGCCAGCAGGTGTTGGCGCTTTCCAAACAGCCGGCAGGTGACGGCAGGCGTTGGCAGGCATCGGCAGGCATTCGTGCAGCATGTATGAACAATCGCAGACTGGAAAAAGTGAACGGGAAAGTGGGAGTGCAGCGAGACCACTACAGCACACGCTCGAGCACAGGTGCACACAAGACGCACAGGGAGGCAGGTTTGTCACGGGAGCTACATTGCAGGCAAGTATGTGCACACACACACACACAGAGAGAGAGAGAGAGAGAGAGAGAGAGAGATTGTCGGGAAGCGTCATGCGAAGGGAGATGGAGGGAGGAGGAGGGAGGAGAAAGGAGGGAAGATGAGGGAGGAGGAAGGGGGGGACGAGGAGGAAGGACGGAGGTGGATGAGGAGGAGGGGGAGGACGAAGAGAATCAGGAGATAGAATCCGAAAATCCCGTGCCGCAGAGGAGGAAGCAGGATGAAGGATAAAAGGGGAGAGAACGGGAGAGACAAGGGACTGAGGGAGGGAGGAGAATGTGTTTGTGGTGTGTTCCTTTTTGTTTTTCGCAGTCTGGATTCAAACTTGGGCATGTATTCCTTTTTCTATTCCGTATAGGGTGACAACCTTTTGACGTCATTGTCGAACTGACTGGCCCAGGTAATTCATTCATTTACAGCTGTCTGGACGTTAAGAATCACAAGATGAAAACAAAAGAGCCCGTGCGGCAGAGGAGGGAGGTGGATGGAGGTGAATCATCCCCTTGGTGTGTTCCTTTTTTATATTTTGGTAATGCGGATTCGAACTCGGGTCTGTTTGTGAAGTTGACGGCCATGAGACATCATTGTCATACTGACGGTCCCCAGGTAATTCAGTAATTTCAGTTACTCCTGTCTGCATTCAAGCCCACGTCTGCATTTCGATTTTAAACAGTTCATGGGTGCACCGACTGAGCTACGCATGTTGGTTGGTCTGTATTTCAACAGATGAGTGGAGACGAGGATAAAGGAGGACTAGGAGGGAGGATGATGATGAGGACAAGGAAAATAAAGAAAAAAAATGCGTGCTGTTGTGCCATGTGGCACATGACGGGAGGTGGAAGGAGGGAGTACAGGGTTGGATGATGATGATGAGAAGAAAATGAAAAAAAATCACGTGCTGGTGTGCCATGTGGCACAACAGGAGCAGGAAGGCGTAGGAGGGAGGAGGTAGGAAGAGTGAGGAGGAAGGAAAGCAGTATGCCAAGTGGAATGTGATGGGAGGAGAGAGGAGAGTGGAGGAGGCGAGAGGAAGCTGGAGCAGGAGGGAGTAGGAAAGAGGATGAGTAGGAGGGAGGATGATTAGGACAAGAATGATGACAAAAAAAACGCATGCCAGTGTGTCACGACAGGAAGAGGGGACGGGGGGCAGGAGGAGGAAGAGAGGTGGATGACGAGGACAAGAAAAAAAATGGCGTGCCAGGACAGGAGGGAAGCATAGGAGGGAGAAGGGGGGAGGGGGAGAGAGGTGGAGGATGAGGAGGACAGCAAGCGTCACAAGGTGAAAAACAACAATCGCACAGCGGTTCCCATGCAAGGGGGAGGATGAGGCGGCTGCAGGGCCAGGAGATGGAGGGAGGGCAGAGGGGGAACCTTGTGAAGAGGGAGAGCCTTCTAGTTCAACACTTGTGCGCATTCTGGTTTGGGAGGGAGGGGGGGGAGGGGAGAGAGAGAGAGAGAGAGAGAGAGAGAGGTGGGATGGAAGGGAGGCACCTTGTTCTTGACGATTGTTTATGATGCAAGCTCGATTATGTGTGTGTGTTGGGGGGAGAGAGAAAGAGAGAGAGAGAGAGAGGTCCACTACACATTTGACATATGTGAAAATCGTAATGGTCCCGATGCATTCAAATCGTTGGATCGATTTGAATGTAGTGGGCCTACACTATCGTCCAGCTGCGTGTGAAACGTTTTGTAACTACGGGAGGCACTAAGGTGCTCACACTGTGATGGTGGGACACACACACACACACACACACATTTGGAGACTTCACGAGTGACATTTGAGTCTACGAGATCGCCATTCCACCTCCTCCTCCGTCTCTTCCCCCTCTTCATCTGTGGATGTTTGCTGGTCTGGCGCCCTTCGTCTGTGTATAGCGAGCCAGGAACCCCCCGCACCCTGCCTGATGATGATGAGTGTGATGCAGTCAGTGTCATGTGAGTCAGATCATGGTACATCAGTCTTCCACTGCGCTATTTGTGCTCCATCTCTTTGGGTCGGTTCTCGGTTCTGATCCTTCCCTCATGGGCATGCGACAGTTCGGTATCAGAGCAGACCTGGGAGATTCCCTGATCTGCTCATCAAGTCGTCACTATGATTGATTGATGACTTGTTGATTTATTAATTGATTAAATTAGTTCCGTCAGAAGATCCTCACGCCTGGCAGGTCCTGCCTGTGACGCCCGGGGTACCCGGCCGTGCGACAGAAAAAAAGAATAATAGTTTTTTATGTTTTTGGGGCTTTTTGTGGTCTCCCAGGGACCCCTAATCCAGGCTTGTTTCTTTTTTTGTGAGTCGGTTGTCAAGGTGCAAGGAATATGAGGGAGAGCGATAGACAGAAACCCAAGTTGCAAAATCACGTGGTAGTCCAGATAGTCATATACCAAGCAGAAAGCACAATGCACCAAGATTCCGTACACATAAGAGCAATACAAAGAGTGCCAATGCCGACACTCCTGGTCACATCAACACTGTATCCAATGTTGCTCCTACTGTCTGGCGCTCAGCGCCCAGCCTACTCTACTCGGTCTATCTAGCCTATGTAGGTTCAAGCGACTGGATCACACCGAAGTTGAAGACCAATGTACGTGATTCAAGACCAATGCAAGACCAATGCCAACCACCAGCATAACCCCTTGATCACCCCCTCATGCGCCTCCTACCCGAACACCACCACCAGCATCACCCACATTGTGCCCCTGCAGCCCGGCTATGGCTGCTGTGCGCCCTCTGCCTCACAGTGCCCCTCTCACCTCAGTGCCTGAGCGGGCGCCCGACCGGCGGCGCCCATGCAGACAGTAGCGCAGCAACGCAGCAGCATGTCCGCGTTGCCTGCAAAGGCCAGACTCCTCTCCCAGGGGCTCACACTTCCCTTTATGGAAAGTGTGTCACTGTTGGCTGTCCTGGCTAGATGTGTGGGGGGTGCAGTAGCTTCAGTTGGGCCCCAAGTGTCCGCACCCAGGCCCAGTTTCTGAGACTGAACTGGGCCTCATGCAGTTAGGCACATCTAGGCAGACACCCAGCCTTCAAGTGTTTGCAGCATTCTTAGTGGCTCGCGGCACATGTGTGACAACAATGCTGCTTGCTCATTGGCCTGTAACCAGTCCGTGATGTGTCGGCCTCACACAGCATTTGCCCAGGGCGCAACCGCCTGAGCCGCAGACTCTACTGTACAGCACAGCTCTTTGCTTCTAGAAAGAGTCTGTACATTATCAGCCATAGGACCTCCTCCGTGCAAGCACGGATTCGAACCGGCACCCTCAGCCTCAAGAGCCGAGTCTCTTAACCACTACAGCCATGACATGGTGTACAAAAGTGAATCCATGCCGGTCGTGATATTCACCCCACCCCTGCATGGCTGTAGTGTCCTTCAACTCACACACACACACACACACAACACCACAGAAGGCATCCGCCACACAGGCAGTAGTCGCACACTCCACTCTCATCCTGCACAACTGCTTATCCAACGGTTTTATCCACGGGCCACCACAACCAGGTATAATTTCGGGGCTGGTTACCCGGTTGAAGTACAGTCTGTACATTATCAGCCATAGGACCTGCTCCGTGCAAGCACGGATTCGAACCGGCGTCCCCAGCCTCAGGAGCTGAGTCTCTTAACCACTACAGCCATGACACGGTGTACAAAAGTGAATCCATGCCGGTCGTGATATTCACCCCACCCCTGCATGGCTGTATTGTCCTTCAACTCACACACACACATACACACCACACAAGAGCCTGGAGGCTCACGTTGCGCTGTAACCAACTGGCGTTAAAACTCTCTGAGTACCCACATATGGAAACATTGTCGAGAACAGGCCTCATGTGGATATTGATTCCCGCCTTCACTTAGGGCGGGCACGCGGCTTGGTGGGGCCACAGCCAAGCACACTTGTATGTCTGATAAGGGCTCCGTGAGGCTCATTCCTCGTGAAGAGGGGGGGAAGGGGGATATAAATTGGTTTTAAACCACCAGTACATCCAAAAAAGCAAATTGAGCCTCTCGTAAAAAATTGGAGGCCGTGGACCATAGATAAAATGAATCTGTGATTCATGGCCTCCTATTTTTCAGGAGAGGCTCAATGTCCATTTTCGGATGTACTAAAGGGGCTAAAGGGGGTGCCTTTGTGTGATTCTGTTGTTTCCTTTTTTATTTCCGATTCTGTGAGGAATTCTAATGTGACCCTCGGCCAAAAGTCGTTTTTTGAGTTCTACACAACATCATTCTTTTTCCGGATTTTTTTTCTTTTGCGCCGGGGCTGCCCAGAACCCTACCGGCCGGGCACCCGGTTGTGTACTGCCCAAAATCCGGCCTCGTTTTTATTTTCAGGCATATTGGTTTGGAGCAGGGATGAGGGAGGACTATGGCGGGAGGAAGGAGGGAGGAGGGAGGCGGCCTGCTGGGAGGGAGGAGGGAGAACTATGGCAAGAGATATAAGGAGGCAGGAGTAGAACTCTCCCGAAGGAAGGTAGGAGGAGGTAGGGGTAGAGTTCTAATGAAGAAGAAGAGGGAGAAGTATAAGAAGAGGACTATGGTGTCCCCGAAGAACTGTAGAGAGTAAGAAGAGGAGGAAGAAGATGACGAAGAACAAGGGGCAAAGAAAGAGAGAGGGAGAGTAAAAAGAGGAGGAGGAAGAAGAAGAAGGGAAGGACGTGGGAAGGAAGGGGGGGAATGGAGACTGGTGGAGGGAGGGAGTCTGGCGAGAAGGAAGACATGGAGGAGGGGGAAGGGAACCTATGGAGGGAGGAGGGATGTCATGCCAGACGGAGCCGAAGCGTAATCAACATACTCGCAAGCGGACGCCGTCCGGGCGGTTCGGCACGTGCGGCAGACCGCCGGACCGGACCCGTGCCGGGCACGAATGTGCGCCCGACGACCAGTTATGCCCCAACCCCCCCCCCCCCCCCCAAAAAAAAAAAAGGGCCCCGTCCGGTCTGGGTCCGTCTGGTCCGGGGGGAGGGCGCCGCACGCGGGAAAGGAGACCGGACCGGATGCTCGTCCGGTCCGTCTGCTTGCAAGTACGGTAATCAAGCAGTCCAAAAAAAATTAAAGATGATGAGTCGTTGATAAAGCGCTATGGCGGCAGAAGAAACAGGGAGGAAAGAAGAAGAAGAAGAAGAGGAAGAAGAGCCGACAAGAAGAAAGAAGAAAAAGAACCGATGAAGGAAAAGAGGAAAGTGAAGGAAAAATGGCAAAGAAGAAAAAGAAGATGAGGATGAAGGAGTGGAAGAATGGGATAAAATGAAGAAAAAGAAACAAAGACATAGTAGGGATGGCGAAGAAGGAAATGGCAAAGAAAAAAAAGAAGAAGAAGATGAAGGAGAGGAAGAAGAATGGGACAAAATGAAGAAAAAGAAACAAAGACGTAGTAGGGACTACGATGAAGAACAAAAAGAGAAGAAAAAAACTTACCTGAGTTGTGGGTGGTGGCGCAGGCAGTTCTTGTTGGGGCCGAGGAGGGCGGTGCAGCTGGATTGCGAAAGTGATGGCACGGCTGGAGGGCAGCAGGGTGACGAGGATGATGGCTCGGCAGAGTGACGATGACAATGCCATGGACGTGTGAATTTCTTTTTTGAAGTGGTTTGGGGGGTGGTGCTGTGGGGGTTCGGGTGCCTGGACGGGGGGGTTGCACAACCCGGTGCCCCGAGCGCCCTTCGGGGTGACCTGGGGGGCACCGGCGCCCAGGCTGGAAAGTAAGCTGGGTATGTCCATAATTTGTGCATTCTGGTAGTTGGTTAGAACCTGCGTAGCACACTAACCTGCGTAGCACACTAACCTGCGTAGCACACCAAACATGTTTTGCGCCCCACTGAGCTGTCGAACATGTTCGGACACTCGTCCGAGCGGGAACCGAACATGCTCGGGCGAGTGCAAGTCGGGGGGCTGCCCAGCGCGTTCTTGTGTGGTGTGTGTGTGTGTGTGTGTGTGTGTGTGTGTGTCTGTGTGTGTCTGTGTGTATGTGCAGGAGTGGTGAGCAATGCCCCCCAGGCCCCCCAAAAAATTTGGGCTGACCGCTTGGTCGATTTTGGGCCACGTTCGGGCTCGGTACCGAACGTTTGGGTTCGGTCACCGAGCCCGAATGAGATGCTATGCATGTTAACTGCAATTTTTCTGTACCAACCTGGGTCCACCTCAGTCCTGGGCATGCAAATAATTTCCACAAATGGACTGGTTTCTTCAGCCCTTTTTTTTTGCGTAGGTTCTTTATATGATTGACATAAAACCCGACTTGTTAAATATTATGGAGGTTTAGTCAGTACAATGCCTGGCCTTTTCTGGATATAGGTGCAAGTTGCCACTGGGAAGGGCTATAGCGGGTATTTCCATCTTTAAGTGGGGTAAGGATGCAATTTTGCCTTGTTGATTTTTTTCGTCTATGTGCTAGCACTTGTCCCATAGACACTGACATTGATTTGTTGAGGTAGTTCTTGGTTCTTTCTTTTTTTCTTCTTTTTTGTTCCTTTTTTTTTTTGGAAGCATTTACGGTACTATATTCATCTGGAGTGCTGTCCGTTTATCAATAGCTATGACACTATCCGAGACATTCCAAATCTGGTGTTGACTGGCTACATAGTGGAAACGCAAACGATGAGCTTGTTGATTGTATCAAGAGAATTGAGCATTGCAAATTGTCTTTTTTGTTTTTTCCTCCTCAGCATCAACAGCAGTAAAAGAATTAGCAAGCACTTACGTGTTTGTCTGTGTTTGTTTGTGTGCGTGCATGTGTGTGTGTGTGTGTGTGTGTGTGTGTGTGTGTGTGTGTGTGTGTGTGTGTGTGTGTGTGTGTGTCTGTGTGTGTGTGGTATGCAGATATCACACATCCAATTCCTGATTTGACTGGCTACATTACAGAAGGGCAAATCTACATTGATAGGCAGCTTCACAACAGACAGGTGAGGGAGGAGGGGGTGCTTACTCATGTAATTGTTCAGACTAGTAGATTGGTGGGCTAGTGTCCTGCCTTTTACACTTCCCCGACCGGACAAGTTCTTTTTCTTGGCTGTGGGTGAGGAGCATTACTTCCGTTACACCTGTCTAAGGTAATGTGAGTAGGAATGGACTTGGGAGGAGAGGATGCAAGATTGATGGTTGTTTATGTTACGCCACCTTGGGAATGTTTTTGCACACTGTCCAGGTAAAGTTGGTAAACCATTTGCAAAGACTGTAAATTGTCCAGTGGAAGTAGCGAAGGCGTCTGTTCTGCATGCTTTTTCTTTTTTATTTTGCTGTGCTTTAGCTGCTTTTTAAACTGTCCCTTATGACTTGTTTTAACGCTGTTTGCTTTCAGCACATGCACAGTGTTCTGTTGTTTTTTTTCATCGTTGTTCTGTGCTGTTGCTTGGTCGTTAACTCTATTTCAGGCTTGTTTTTATGGTAACAGCATGCACTAACTCTTTTGTCATTTCTCCACCGTGGACTTTTTGCGCAGATCTTTCCGCCAATCAATGTCTTGCCGTCGCTTTCCCGTCTCATGAAGGTTGGTCAGTTGTACAATACTTCAACTTCTCTTGCTCACTTGGGCCCATGGACTCCAGGTTCCCTTTTTTCAGTAGTTGGTGCCGGTCTCAGCATTCTAAGAGCTTAGGAATGAGAGCTTTGCACTGATCGTTAAGACCCGCCTCAGGAGCAAAATAAAGGAAGAAAAAAAAGAGAGAAAGCCCGGTCAGGAGCAGTGTGGGATAATGATTCCCTCCTTTATCTGAGGGTGATGGCTTGCAAGAGACCCTTTTCTAGATTCGTTAAGCATAAAAATTTGAAACCAGGTTGTGCTGCAGCGGCTGAGCGCGATTGTTCCTTTTGGATAAAAGATGTTACATAGTCACGAAATATGCAGAGATTAATTCCATAGTACAAGTTCGCACATGTGTTGTGAAGTGCACTCCTTGAGTTGGTCGATATGTGACAATATGCAAGTTTGCATGGTCATGGATCACATCGAGGGCGAGGTTACTAAACTGTCCTAAACTCTCCTACACTTTTCCTCTAAACTCTTCTACACTCTGCTCCCTAAACTCCCCTAAAACTCTCCAATACTCTCTAAAGCTCTCCATAACTCCCGAAAACTCTCTAAAACTTCCCCAAACTCTCCAAAACTATTCTAAACTTTTTTAAACTCTGCAAAGGTCTACAACCCTCTGCTGAACTGTTATTTGCCACAATGTTCTGAGTGGTGTATAAAAGTACAGCCCTCTGCTGAACTGTTATTTGCCACAATGTTCCGAGTGGTGTATGAAAGTCCAGTAAGCCGTGACCTCTTTTGTTGTGCTTTGGTAGCTAAAGGCAAAGATTTGGAATCCTTATATGACATTTCAACCACAAAACCCTAAAGGTTAGCTTACTGCGGGCGTGACGCAGCTCGCCGTTGTGTTGAGGCCTTCAGATTTTGAAATCTGGGGGGTCGAGCGAAAGGGTGGGTTTTAATGAACTGTGTCCGGGCCTGGGTGATGCACACATAGCATGTGGCGAAAATCGTGTTTCAAAGGCGACAAATTGTTGTCGTCGAATGGTGTTTCCTTGATGAGGCGTGTGGTGCGTTCAATTATTGATTCCTTTCTCCTCCTTTCGTTTTCCGTTTTTTTTTTTTTTATTGTTTTTGCTTTTGTTGTTGTTTTCTAGGTTGTTTTTCCGGACGTCCGGGACCCCCCCTGACCGTACGGGATGTCCGACTGGACGTCTGGTCGGACGTCGGATCGGACAGGGGTTGTCTGACCTAGTGCAAAAAAAAAAAAACAAAAAAAAAAAAAACCAAAAATGTGGCTTCTACCTTGCATAAGGTGTATGCCACCAAAATTTTGGCTCATTTGAGCCAGTAGAAAAAAAGATAAAAATCTTCAGAGTTTCTAGTCCCCACCTATACCCCTCCTATCCCCACCAAAACCCCTCGTACCCCCCCC